TTTCAGCCTGCTTTTCTTTTTGGATTTGCTTCCATAGCCTTTGTCCAACCAAGAACAAACTACAAGGCAGCAGTTGTTTAATTTTGGAGTTGTCTCTCCTAGAAGAGTGGCTGTCCCCAGCTAACGAGGCTCATCTGCCCGAGGGTTCGAACTCGAGACTTTTCGGTTTAGCAACCATGAGCTTTACCGACCCGACCACGCCACCCCTAAAACACACAGTGGTGCCTATAATATAGTATCGATACATTTGTCAGCGAGTAATTTTGATAGAATGATTGTGTCGGGATTAGGGTGAGGGTCAGGGCAAGGGTTAGAGTCGTTAAACCTGGAGGTTACAACTGAATGAGATTTGTGCAATCTCGACTATCGGGCATGTGTTGTTCTGTAATGTGTGCACTATGTTTAACGACGGCTTAGTGTCAGTCAAGTCGTAGAACGACAACATAATGAATGGGTTTTTTTTCTTTTAACTTACTTCATGACTTAAAATTAAGAGTTTAACAAACCTCTACGTTTTAGGGGGGAGGCGGGGGGGGGGGGCATCTATAAATGAAGTAACGCATTTTTTTGGAGAATTTTATCTCCCCCCTCCCCTCCGTCATACATCGTAATCAAAAGCCAGACCTCCCCCTAAAATGACGTCACACCTCAGCCTAGAACCCTCCCCCCCCCCCCAACATCATGAACATATGACTTGTAACTCACCGACACGACGTAAGCTCAACAGACCATATCGCTACCACCCCCCACCCCCACATGTCTGGTGAGCTGTTTACAATCGTAGTGCCGGGTCGAATTAGTGACGGCTATTAGGGGCAGATAATTTAGTTTTTAAACGATTTGAAACTAAGGGGAGGTAATAACAAGTTCTGCTTTATCTTTTCATCGTCGTCTGTAAACTGTCGTCATGGACGGCTGCTTTCACGGGGGTGGGGGAGGGGGAAAGGGGGAGATGAGTGGAAATTGAGGGTGAGGATAATCGTCCTTCACTAGCTACGGCTACTGTGTGTTTCAAAGCAATATATTTTCAGTCACAACACTGGTAGTGTCGAATTCAAGAATTCTGAATTACTGAAAAATAGAAATTAAAACAACTAAATAGCGGCGTATGCTACGTCGCGGGTCAGCTCGTTGTTTATATGTTTTGCTTCTTTTTTCTAGGTTTAATTTTGAGTGACACTGCGCGCATCAACTAATTAAACTACATCAAGTTAATCCATTTCTGGACATCCAAAATTATACGACAACTCTAGCTGAATGTGTGTTTTAGCTACAAGAGGACAAACACACCTGATTTCAAACAATGTGAAAACCGTGTCGTGTAGATCAATGAAAGTGACGACACGGAGCCCACAATAACAAACACCAACACCATTTCTTGAATCAAGCTAGTGAACCAAATGGGCTGTAACAAAGCTAGAAGGTTGCCCTGTTGTGGGATGTTGCGTGTTCTGATGACGGCGTTGTTTGGGAAAAACCTGCGGGTGTCCGTGTTTGTTGTGACGTGCGTCATCACGATAATGGTGCTGTTGGAACTGGCTGTTACATGTAAGTACATGTTTGATTTATATCACGGTACTTTATTGGAGGGAGTGGGTTATTACATGTAAGTAAATGTTTGATTGTTATCATGATACTTTAATGAGGGAGGGTGGATGTTATTACATGTAAGTAAACTTTTGATTGCTATCAGGATACTTTAATGAGGGAGGGTGGATGTTATTACATGTAAGTAAACTTTTGATTGCTATCAGGATACTTTAATGAGGGAGGGTGGATGTTATTACATGTAAGTAAACTTTTGATTGCTATCAGGATACTTTAATGAGGGAGGGTGGATGTTATTACATGTAAGTAAACTTTTGATTGTTATCACGAGACTTTAATGGAGGGGGTTATTACATGTAGGTAAACTTTTGATTAATATCACGATACTTTAATGAGGGAGGGTGGGTTTGACATGTAAGTAAACTTTTGATTGCTATCAGGATACTTTAATGAGGGAGGGTGGATGTTATTACATGTAAGTAAAGTTTTGATTAATATCACGATATTTTATTGGAGGGGGGTTATTAGATCTATGTAAACATTTGACTATTTTCACATTGCTTTATTGGAGGGGGGTTATTAGATCTATGTAAACATTTGACTATTTTCACATTGCTTTATTGGAGGGGGTTATTACATGCAAGTGAGCATTAGACTGTTTTCACGATACTAGTTTTATTTGAGGGAAGTTATATGCAAGTAAAAAGTAACTGTTCTAACTTTACTGATTCTGTGTGGGGTGGGTATTGCTTGTACTTTAACATCTTGCCATCACGGAACTGTTTTTTTATGTGGCTAGTCAGTAACAAACATTGACGAACGGGTCAAACATTCGATTTGTTTTACAAGATAAGATAAGGCAGGTAATACAGGTTTAATCTAACACAACAAAGTTAAGCTCAGCTAGCTTAAGAGTAATCCAGTCTGTGAGTCATGTCGGTGCATGTCGGTAAATGTCGGTTCATGTCGGTAAATGTCGGTAAGTGTCGGTAAATGTCGGTACATGTCGGTACATGTCGGTACATGTCGGTACGTGCGGTGCATGTCGGTAAATGTCGGTACATATCGGTAAATATCGGTACATGTCAGTACGTGCGGTGCATGTCGGTAAATGTCGGTACATGCCGGTACATGCCGGTACATGTCGGTACATGTTGGTACATGTCGGTAAATGTCGGTAAATGTCGGTGCATGTCGGTATATGTCGGTACATGTCGGTATATGTCGGTGCATGTCGGTAAATGTCGGTACATGTCGGTATATGTCGGTATATGTCGGTGCATGTCGGTACATGTCGGTATATGTCGGTGCATGTCGGTAAATGTCGATACATGTCAACACATACACCCAAACTTACTTTGAGATAAATCATAAAAAAAACTTAAAGTTTTTTAATCATGTTAAGAGACTGAACTATTTTAGGTAAATTGAATTTGTGATGACTTCTCATTAATTAATAAGCGAATATGCGGAGGATAAATATATCGATCAAATATTATCTGCCGCGTAATGTCATTGAAGAGCAGCGGGTTAAGTACATCATTAGGAGCGGCTCAGGTTATCAAGACTTCGGGCAGGATGTCAAAGTATTGATTGAAGTTTGATTAACAGCAAAAAAAAAAAAAACATGCCTTTTTTTTCAGCCATGAGCGTCAAGCTGAGTCAGGAGGATGTCGACTGTTACGCCAAGAACATTGAGCTGCATTATACGGTCCTGGGGAATGGACCAGCGGTAAGTGTGGGTGGAGGGGGGGGGGGTCGGGCTGCGGGGGGGGGAGGGGAAGGAGGGTTGGAATTTGCAAGTGTAAGAGAGGAACATCGAGCATCGATGATAGAGAAGAATCCGATTGATAGAGTTGCAAACGTAGGACAGGAACATCGAACTAGATTATACGATTCTGGGGTATGGGTCGACGGTGAATGTGTGTGTGACGAGGGGGGGGGGAGGGTCGAGGGGAGGGAAATGGAAGTGAAGGACAGGGGGTGTCGGGGTGGGGGAGTTTGTAAGTGTACGACTGGGACATCGAGCTGCGTTATACGATCATGGGGAATGGGCCGGCGGTGAGTGTTGAGTTAATAGTGGGGGGGGGGGGGAGTGTCGGAATTTGCAAGTGTAAGACAAGGACATTGAACCTCATTAAACGGCAAGGGTGTGTGCGTGGGGGGGGGGGGGGTGAAATTTGCATTGGTAGGACAAGAACTGCATCCTACGGTCATGAGGAACGGTGGTAAGTGTTGATTTAGTAGGGGGTGGGGTCGGGGGGTTAGGAAGTTGCAAGTATAGGACAAGGTCATCGAGCTGCATTCTACGGTCATGATGAACGGTGGTAAGTGTTGATTTAGTCGGGGGTGGGGTCGGGGGGGGGGGTTGGGAAGTTGCAAGTATAGGACAGGGTCATCGAGCTGCATTATACGGTCTTAGGGAACGGAGTGACGGTATGAGTTGACTTGCTTGGGGACGGGGGAAGGGGGGGGGACAGGAACATCTAGTTGGAAATCCGATTATAGGATATAGATCTGTGGTAAGCGTTGACGAGATGGGGAGGGAGCGGGGGGTATTGCAAGTGAAGGACAAAAACATCGAACTGCATTCCAAGTTGATATATAAAGCGAAAGGGAAGTATTGTGTGCCACGAATCGGGAGTGGGGGAGGGGTGATATTACGTTAAAAGGTTGGGGTTTTTTTTGTAAATGTATCCGACTAACGATACATTTTTAAAAAGTGAGACTGTAACTGAAAATACAATAAAAATCGATTGTCTTAAAAAATATGTGAAGCTACTCGCAACATAATCTGGCATAGAATACCCAATGAATTTAATTTACCTCATATTTTATGAGGAGTTTAAGAAAATGGATCAAACGTAATCTTTGGATGGTATTTTCTTCTGTTTAAGGGGTAGTGAAAAGGTTGGTATGATTGAGAGTTCGCTGTCTGTCTGAACTTCTTGTTTCTTTCGTCTTTCATGTTTAAAAAAAAAGAGTTGACAAACTATCATCATGCAGGGGCGTAGCGAGGGGGGGGGGGGGATGGCGGGGGGGATGGCGGGGGGGATGGCGGGGGGGGGGGGGTGAGGACCGCACCGGGTGACACCATTTAGGGGGGTGACACCAAGGCAAAAATAGCAAAATATATAAGGAAAAACTTGAGGGAGGTGCAAATCAAAAGTTTTGAGGGGGGGGGGGGGGGGTGCAAATCGAAAACTTGAGGCGGGGGGGGGGGGGATGCAAATCGAAAGTTTGAAAGTTTGTCCCCGGTAAGGGGGTCGCTACGACTCTGGGGGGGGGGGGGGTGACACCATAAAGTGTCGCATTGGGTGACCCCCGACCTCGCTACGCCACTGTCATCATGCCAGACTGATAGTTTATTTAGTATATAATTATTTTAAATTGATTGTATCATTTAACATGTGTGTCTTGCTAATGTAAAAAAAATGATTCCTGTAGCGCATCTATCGGGCGGAGGTAAAGATGATCAACAACGGTGAACGGGAGTTCCCTGGCGAGGGCTGGGAGATGTTCTTTAGTCAGGTAGGATTTATCTCCCTTGTAGGATCGTTGTGGTAAATTGTACCAAAAGTAGGGATAACCCCCCTCCCCCTGCTTTCCTTAACCCCTACCCCCCCCCCCCTGTGAAAGTACACTCCTCTTAGTTACCTCCCCTTAGTTTAAAATCGTTTCAAACTAAATTATCTGCCCCTAACAGCCGTTACTAAACCCGGCTCTACGATTGTAAACATTTACGTGAACCACAGCTCACCAGACCATGTAGGGGTGGGGGTGATAGGGAGCGCGCTTACAGCTTGGTGTTTTCTATCGTCTCCAAGAGGAGAATTATATATATAGATAGGGGTTTTGTGTAGTAAAGATATTTGAGCATTTCTAGCTTTGTAAATTTCCGAGAGTTGGGGGGGGGGGGAGGGGGGGAACTATATACACACACACGTACTCACACACATAGCCTATATATATACGGGGAGGTGTCAAACCATCTCTTCTTTCCTTGATCTGCCAACAGCAAAAATATATACTTTAAAAACATTTATGTAACAACTAATAATATTTATTGATATAGGCCTACTGATTATTTAGTAAATTGATGTTTACGCCAATTCAACGTGTGTGCTTCGAAGTAAAAAAAAGTTGTCGAAAGGCTGAGTGACTGTCGTAATTCGTACAATAACTAATTATTGCGCATTGAGCATAATGTGATGTTGATTAATTAAACTTTAGTTAAAATACGATTGATGCTTTATAATGACGTAGATCTATATTGTGCTGCAGATTCTTCCATTAGAGAGCAGCCACATTCCGTACGACAACGGCTATGAGAAGAGAGAGTACGGCATCAAGGTCTTCCACTGGAACGGTCAGATGTACAGCCTGACCCCGACCCCAGATTTTGGGGTCATCCCCCCTCAGGGGGTCAAACGCTTCCTGCTGGAGACGGCTTGTTGTAATCTGGCGTACACGGATACTTTCCCTAACTGGTCAGTGTTTTAGGACATTGTCCCTAACTGGTCAGTGTTTTAGGACATTGTCCCTAACTGGTCAGTGTTTTAGGACATTGTCCCTAACTGGTCAGTGTTTTAGGACATTGTCCCTAACTGGTCAGTGTTTTAGGTCATTGTCCCTAACTGGTCAGTATTTTGGGATATTTTCCCTAACCAGTCAGTATTTTAAGACAATTTCCCTAACTGGTTAGTATTTTAGGACATTGTCCCTACTGGTCAGTATTACCTTAGTTACATGATTAGTCGATACACTAAATATATGTTTTGGATAAGCCTAACTTTAAAATACGTTGAAGTTATTTTTTATATTTTTTTAAATGGGACGGCGTGGTTGGATGATAGCGCGCACGACTGCTAACCCGAGTCTGTAAGGCATTCCTGAGTCCACCCAGCTCTAATGGGTACCTGACTCACGTTAGGGAAACTATGCCAGTTGAACTTAGTGCTAAGCACAGTATCCCCTTTTATGCCTAGGTTTAAAAACAGGTGAACTCCAGTTTTTTTTCCAGGCATCTCTTCGTGGGGGAGTCCCCCCCCCCCCCTGAATGAAATGGAAATTTATGTAGAAAATATATACTTTTAACAGTGTTCCCCTTCCCCCCCCCCCCGTAAATATCAAGTGCCCCCCCCCCCCCACCGGAGAAAAATATCAGGAGGAAACGCTGGTAACTCTACTTCATCTTTCATCTATGTCTTTAAAACGAAAGGAAAATACAGTTTAGAAGAGAAGGATGGATGGTTAATTTTGTTACAGCCCTATCATGTCTTACTCCCAATCAGGTATTTACACTTTGAAGGATTCGAACCCAGGATAATCGCCAACACAGCCGGAGACCCGTACAACTTTGTGTTCCGTGCCAACAACAACATGACGTGGAAGCGGTACCTAACAGATCGCTACAACCCCTGGTCGGCAGAGGACCGGCTGAAAAATGCGACGAAAAATTTGGGGATGGCTCCACTACCCATCATTCCAACGTAAGAGTTTTAGTTACAATTTTGTTTAATAATGTGAGAGTGTGCTCCCTTACCCATCCTCCCAACGTAAGCTGTTAAGTTTAATAATTTTATTTTTAATGTGAGAGAGTGCTACCATACCAATCCTCCCAATTTATTCTTTATTTTTTTTAATAATGTTGTAATGGGTTCCCATACCAATCCTCTTAAAGTAAGCTTTTAAATTTTTTTTTACTAATGTTGTAATGGGTTCACATACCAATCCTCCTAAAGTTAGCTTTAAAAAATATTTTTATAATAATGTGAGAGTTGGCTCCCTTAATATATTTTTTTCGTAGATTTTTAACAGCAGTTTTGCAATTGTCAATGTCAGTTAAATTTGGCCATAGAAGTAAAGTATTTAGTAACAAAACAAGAAGACGAGATGATGTCACAATTTTGCTTTTTTATTTTTAAAAAGTAGATAATTCAACTAACTTTTAGTCGTCATTGCGCATTTTAAAGACTACATTACAATAGGTTTTAATAGGTGTAACAATAATTACCTAGTTTCCCTTTTAGAATGAAGTTAATTTCTAATTGCGACACTTTATGTGGTTTTCCATTTTGTTGAGGAGAGGGGATATAAACTCGGTCCAATAAAGCATGCCGTTATCTAGTAACGTCAACATTGTGATTCTCTGACCTTGAAAAATTCTGTATGAACAATGTAGGGCCGGGGCGGTCGGGTCGGTAAAGCTCATGGTTAAAGTAAAGTTTCCCTTTCAAACCTGACGGTCTATGGGGCAAGTGAAGTAGAGTTCACTTGTTTCTGTGACCTCAGCATATGAAGAGATATTGTGGTCAGCACAATGCCCAGCCGCCTTTACTTACCCTAACGTGAGTTAAGTACCCATCAGAGTTGGGTGGACTCAGGGACGTTCTACTGATTTGAACCCGGATTCGAACTCGAGACTTACGGGTTGGCAGTCCAGCTCTCTACCGCTAGACCACTCCGTCCCAAGCTCACGGTTGCTAAACCGAAAATTCCCGAATTCCAAAATCAAACAACTGCTGCATTGAAGCTGTTCTTGGATCGACAAAGGCTATGGAAGCAAACAGTGTTTTTCTTCCAGGCTTTTTTCTCAAGGGAGGGGGGGGGGGGGCACTTGATATTTTCGGGGGGTGGGGGGAGGGACACTGATAAAAGTATATATTCTCTATATAAATTCCATTTCGTTTTGAAGGGGGGAGGGGGCGGTAGACTTTCTTCGTGGGGGGGGGGGGGATGCCTGGAAGAAACTCTGGGAGCAAATTCTAAAAGAAAAGCAGGCTGAAATCGGAGTCAATGGTTTTTACAACGCCTAACAATTCGACACACTTAATTGAGTTGGAGAAAATCCCGCCCAACATAACAATTAAAAACGAAGAAGAAATATAACCATGTTTCTTAAATCCTCAGACCACTGCAAATCTCTAACTACAACACTAAATCTAAAGTCAATGTACTTAACGACGAATGGTGTTTGACGTACGACCCAGACTTCGCGAATGAAGCTAACTATTTAGCATGTAAGTAGTAAAGCGACACAACCATTTTAATAGATAAACTAAAATAAAATTACCCTTTTCTAAACCGGCGGTCCATGGAGGCTAATGAAATATAGATTACCTCAGAGGCGTAGCGAGGGGTGCGGACCGCACCGGGTGACACCATTTAGGGGGGTGACACCAAGGCAAAAAATAGTAAAAATTTATAGAGAAAAATTTGAGGGGGGGGGGGGGTGCAAATCAAAAGTTTGAGGGGGGGGGGGTGAAAATCGAAAGTTTGAAGGGGGGTGCAAATCGAAAGTTCGAGGGTGGGTGCAAATCGAAAGTTTGAGGTTTGAGGGGGGTTGCAAATCGAAAGTTTGTCCCCGGGAAGAGTCGCTGCGCCTCTGGGGGGTGACACTATTAAGTGCCGCACCGGGTGACACCCGACCTCGCAACGCCACTGGATTACCTGTTTGAAAGGATAGTGTGGTGAGCAGTATGCCCAGCCGCCATTATTTTCCCTAACTTGAGTCTGCTACTCATCAGAGCTGGGTGGAATCGAGCTTGGGTTTTGAAACTAAGACTTACGACTTTGCAGTCGTAAACTCTACCACTCGGTCACGCCTTCCCTAAAATGTCACATATCATTGTTACAATGTATGCACGATTATTAATGTCCTCTCGTAATAGACGGTTTTAATCAGTGGCGTAGCCAGGATCGTCTCATGGGGGGGGGGGGGGTTCAAATTTTTTCCCGCATCATAAATATATATATATCAGAGGCGTAGCGTCCCTCCCCGGCCCCCGAGGACAAACTTTTGATTTGCACCCCCCTCAAACTTTTGATTTGCACCCCCCTCAAACTTTTGATTTGCACCCCCCCTCAAACTTTTGATTTGCACCCCCCTCAAACTTTTGATTTGCACCCCCCTCAAACTTTTGATTTGCACCCCCCTCAAACTTTTGATTTGCACCCCCCTCAAACTTTTGATTTGCACCCCCCTCAAACTTTTGATTTGCACCCCCCCCCCCCTCTCAAACTTTTGATTTGCACCCCCCTCAAACTTTTGATTTGCACCCCCTCAGACTTTCGATTTTGCACCCCCCGCTCAACCTTGATGTATCTACCGAGGGGTCTATGGGGGGGTGGTTCTGACCCACCCCTAACCCCCCTGCCTACGCCACTGGTTTTAATTATATTTTTACAGCTTCCTGGAATGTAAGCGTATCGTCGACCGATGTCTCATGTAATCGCTCTATAAAAATAGTGAAAGAAGAGGTTGTGTTGAGGAATATCAAGCGTGTCTTGTCATCGGATGAAGGTTAGTAGGTTAGACTTTTTTTGTTATCTAGGAATAATATGATTTATACCACGGAATAGGGCTTGTAAGTAGGTCACCAACCAGTTCTACGGCTCAATAAAACCTGCATGAGCCATAGAACTGGTTGGTGACCTACTTACCAGTCCTATTGGTACAAGTGTACATTTTAAGCATATAGATCTGGAACTACATTTTTTAGTGTTATAGAGCTATTCTTAGTCATAAAATTCGAGAGATAAGTTATTAATATTTGGGAAAATCTTTTTTTAATGAATAGTATATAGAGATGGGCAATTAAAAAAAAACAGCTTGCGATTTAGAAAAGATAGAATTCAGAGATAGTAATAATTTTTGTTTCGTTTCTAAAATCGATTAATTGATAACCATTTTATTCTCAAAATTGTACAAAGAAAAAATTTTACTTTTAAAGAAAGGACAAATCAAAATTAAGATTTGTATCCATTGATGATGAATAGAATGATAGAAGTAGGCTATATTATAATATTTACAATCAATTAACAACAGATAATTGAAGTTAAAAATGTTATTATCACTCTGGATCCATTCAGATGATTAATGCATATTGTTGCACATATTTTCATTGAACAAAGCTCATGTTATGTGTTCTTGGTCTGTTAACTTTCAGCATATTTTGTCAATGTGGACCCTGCATCTTCCACCATATCAATCAAAGCATGGAAGCCGGCTGGGGTATTTTATGCTATTCAGTCTCTTCTCAGTCTAATGAATTCTAATGGACAGGTAGGTCTTTGTTGAACTGTTGAGTAACATTATAACTATTCATTTGTAGATAGAGAAAGAAAAAAAAAGTAGACGCATACAGCACCAACTAAATGAACAATGCACACACCTCCAGAGTTTCTTCCAGGCATCTCTTTCCCGAAGAAAGTCTACCGCCCCCCGAACGAAATGGAATTTATATAGAAAATGTGTACTTTTGACAGTGTTCGACCCCCCCCCCCCCCCCCGAAAATTGTTGTCAGCACCCCCGAAAATTTCAAGTGCACCCCCGGAGAAAAAAGTCTGGAAGAAACACTGCACACCTCTTTTCTAGATTTAGCGCTACAATATAGATATTGCTTAAAATTGAAAAAAAAAATTAACATCAATATAAAAAATTTAATTCTACATCAAGTAAAATCAAAAGGTTACTTAAAAGAAGAACAAAATTTGACTTTGTTTTTATGCTGTTTTTTTTATTATTTTAGAATACCTTCAGAAACTTTAAAATTTTATTTCAATTGGATTTGGCAGATACCACAAATTTCTATCAGTGATGCACCAAGATTCCCGTACAGGGGCCTTATGATTGATATTGCCAGAAATTTTCACGGTGTGCATACTATTAAAAGGTAGGGAGACACACAAAAAGCAACATAAAACATCAGCATTAAACAAATACAATTATATTGGCTACATTTGTGTAAAAAAAACAACAAACTGCTTTTATTTCACTTTAACAATATATTATAGTACTTTTATTTTTAAATCTAACACTTACATATTAAAACAAATATGCTTATAGTGTATATTTTATCTTAGTTATATCGATGTTTTGTCCATGTACAAAATGAACAAACTACACCTACACCTGACTGACGACGAGGGCTGGAGGATTGAAATCCCTGGCCTGGAGGAGTTAACTGAAGTAAGAGGAGTCAGGGTTAACTGAAGTAAGAGGAGTCAGGGTTAACTGAAGTAAGAGGAGTCAGGGTTAACTGAAGTAAGAGGAGTCAGGGTTAACTGAAGTAAGAGGAGTCAGGGTTAACTGAAGTAAGAGGAGTCAGGGTTAACTGAAGTAAGAGGAGTCAGGGTTAACTGAAGTAAGAGGAGTCAGGGTTAACTGAAGTAAGAGGAGTCAGGGTTAACTGAAGTAAGAGGAGTCAGGGTTAACTGAAGTAAGAGGAGTCAGGGTTAACTGAAGTAAGAGGAGTCAGGGTTAACTTTTTAAAGATGTAGGCTATCTATTACTGGGCTGTAAATTGTTTTCATTGAATAATACTAATAATAGAACACTAGTTATGTGGTACTGGATATTGCATTGATCACATGTTAAGAAATGATTACACAGTTTGTTTCAAGATTTGCACACCTGTTTGCAGATTGGGGGCAAGCGCTGCCATGATCCTAAAGAGACCAAATGTCTGCTTCCATTCCTGGGGTCTGGGCCATACAGCAACTCATCCGGCAGTGGATTTTTAACAGTCAGTCAGTACAGGTAGCTTTAATTGACAGGTAGCTTTTATTGGCAGATAGCTTTTAATTTGAAGGTAGCTTTTATTGGCGGGTATCTTTGATTGACAGGTAGCTTTAATTGACAGGTAGCTTTAATTGACAGGTAGCTTTAATTGACAGGTAGCTTTAATTGACAGGTAGCTTTAATTGACAGGTAGCTTTAATTGACAGGTAGCTTTAATTGACAGGTAGCTTTAATTGACAGGTAGCTTTAATTGACAGGTAGCTTTAATTGATAGGTATCTTTTATAGGCAGGTAGCTTTTATTGGCAGGTAGCTTTAATTGATAAGTATCTTTTATAGGCAGGTAGCTTTTATTGGCAGGTATCTTTTATAGGCAGGTAGCTTTAATTGACAGGTAGCTTTAATTGACAGGTAGCTTTAATTGACAGGTAGCTTTAATTGACAGGTAGCTTTAATTAACAGGTAGCTTTAATTGACAGGTAGCTTTAATTGACAGGTAGCTTTAATTGACAGGTAGCTTTAATTGACAGGTAGCTTTAATTGACAGGTAGCTTTAATTGATAAGTATCTTTTATAGGCAGGTAGCTTTTATTGGCAGGTATCTTTTATAGGCAGGTAGCTTTTATTGGCAGGTATCTTTTATAGGCAGGTAGCTTTAATTGACAGGTAGCTTTAATTGACAGGTAGCTTTAATTGACAGGTAGCTTTAATTGATAAGTATCTTTTATAGGCAGGTAGCTTTTATTGGCAGGTATCTTTTATAGGCAGGTAGCTTTAATTGACAGGTAACTGTAATTGACAGGTAGCTTTAATTGACAGGTAGCTTTAACTGGCAAAGAAACTGTCAGGTAGAATTTTAATTGCAGGTAACTTTTAATAGAAGTGAACTTTTATTTATAATGCATTTTCCAATCTCTTCCTATATTTGTCTACTTGTATAATTTATAGCAGGTCACTTTGTATTTAGTTTTACATCAAAATAATTAATTTTTTTAAATTACTAGGTTATTCTGTTTGTAAATAAAACAAGTTAATTAAAAAGTCTAGTGACAATTTCAGCGCAATTTCCTTATGTTATCTAAAAATAGCTCTGTCGTAAATCAAGAGCAGGGTTAGTAAAACCATTGGTTAGTTATTAAAACGTTTTTTATTAAAAAAAAATTCAGTATTTTACATGTTTTATTTACAATAGAGTTACATGACTAAAAACCATTGCGCGCCTAGCTACTGAACGTGATGACGAAGCCATAGAACGTGATGGTGCAGCTATTGAACGTGATGACGCGTGTGGTGTGGTTGGAAAAAATGCCTACTAATTCGGTCCAAATTTTAATTAATTCAAAAAAATTGTTGTGACCGAACGAAAGGATATTTTTGAAAACTTTCTTCGGCAATATTGTTCTAAATTATTGCAGGAATCGATTGGTACATGTTTCAAGTCGCTAAGTGGTCTGGTTGCCGAGATATGGGCCAAAAACTGCTTTTTTTTCGAGGTGTTTTGGCTTTTCCAGGAAATCCATGAAAGAAACCCGGAATTTTTATAGCCTATGTTCATCCTCGTAACTTGCTTAACATAATTGCTTTTGGAACTAGTCATCGATATTGCTTCGTTGAGGAGGAGATACGACTTAAAGCTGCGGACACACATCCATCCATCCATCCATCCATTCATACATTGATACATCCAGAAATGACGGGTTAATAAACGCAATTCTCCAGAATGGAAATTGCGCTAAAAAATTAATATATGTGGTTTCATACGATCATTTTTTTTTAATTTGTTGAAATTTTAAGTAGACCTATTGGTATAAACTCATATAAACTTTACATTCCATAGACTTAGGGGACTCATGCTTCAACCAGACCTACACAGTGACAGTGAACTTTGCTTCATTAGTTTTTACTGTTTTTTAATTTCTTCCTTTAGAGATATCCTGACGTATGCAAAAATGCATCACGTTGAGATCATCCCTGAGATTGATATGCCAGGGCACGCACATGCAGCCATCAAGGCCATGGAGGCCAGATTTTTAAAGCACTATAAGACCGACATACAGGAGGCTACTAGGTAAGTTTGTAGCTGGTGCAATAATAATTTAGCAATAATTGTTACATCAGGTTTATTTATAATGAATTAAACACATTAAAAGTTACTTTTTTAATTTTAATCTGGTATACTAGCCTACTTTTACCTACAAAAGTATGAAAACTGCTCTTTTGAAAAAAAAAAAATTGTTTTGTAATTTCATATTTTGATTTAGCAAATAGTTTTATTGTGTACCATATTTACACTAATTATAATTAAGAAAGTATTTCGTTATCTTTATTATTTATCTAATTTTAAATTATTTTTTTAATTAGCTATATTGTAACTGATTTAAAAGATAAATATGAACATCTATAAATACAAAGTTGTAATTATTTTTCTATTGTTTTTTTAGGTATCTGTTAACAGATTTGAAAGACAGATCAGAATACTTATCCATACAAAGTTTTAAAGATGATGCCATTAATCCCTGTGTTAAGTCGACATTTAACTTTATCCGTAAGGTTGTTGATGCTATTTACAACATGCACAAAGACATCCAACCACTGAAAGTAAGAACTTTTATTTAAAGGCGTTTTCATTTTAAGATTTATATTGCACGTTTTGAAGGAGGCTGTTGAAAAATAACAAATAAAATAACAAAATAAATATGCTAATGGTGAAATTACCCATGCTAGGAATGTATTTTATCAGCTGTGAAATTGTGTTTAGTAATGTGTTTTTTTTCTGTGTCAAGGTGTTCCATTTCGGGGGCGATGAGGTGCCCCACTCGGCTTGGGAAAAATCCCCGATGTGTCAAAATCTTCCACTGAAAGGCAACAAAAAAACAGCGATCAAGGAAATGTTTGTCTTGAAAGTGGCAGAGATATTAAAAGAGTATGGGCTGAACTTGGCGGCTTGGGAAGATGGGCTGTTGAATGGAAAGGAGCCAATCAACAGAAATTTTTTTTCAGGGTATGCCTAAAAAAAATATTTACAAATGTAGTTAAAGCTTATTTTGTTGAGTATTTCATAATTTTTTACCGTTTGTGCCCAAGACACATGGTGCAGGTGAAGTAGAGTTGATCTGCTTCAGAGAACTCTGCATATGAAGGGATAATATATAAAGCACTATCCCAGACACTTTTTTGCCCTAACATGAGCTAGGTACCCATCAGTGCTGGATGGACTCAGGGACATTCCAGTGACTTGATCCCGAACAGTCTAGCTCTCTACCGCTAGGTCACACCATCCCATGTTGTGTATTTATAACTCCCTAAGTTTCAATTTAGCTAATCCTGAGAAGTTGATCATTATAATATCTTGTTGATTAGAGTTGCTTATGCCTACACTTGGAACAACCTTTGGTCTCTTCATGGTGCTAAAACGTCTTATGTTCTTGCCAATTTAGGTTACAAGGTTAGTCATTTTAACAGATAAAAAAAAATTTCAAATTAGTTTAGCAAAACAATAACATATAAAGAAAGCATATTTTTTCAACACCTTTTTATAAACAATAAATAAAAAATTCTTTAAAATTTTATTTTTGCGAAACTAATTATCTTAAAATCTAACAAACATTACCTCTAAAAAGATTGATGTCATTTTATGTCACCCAGGTGATAATGACACCAGCAACAAACCTGTATTTTGACCACCCCTATGAACCCAACCCATGGGAGCCTGGCTTGATATGGGCCAACAGATTCACGACAACAAAAAATGTTTTCTCAGTCATCCCAGAAAATATTTATGAGATTTACGAGAAAACAATCGATGGGGAGACTTTAATGCCCTGCCTTGACAAATCAGAATGCCCACCGTTGGTGAAGTTTGAGAATATAGAAGGTAGGCTACTCGTTTTTTTATTCGCTGATGGATCTTTACTTCTTACTAAAGAATATCTTGTCCATGTTTAAACATTACTCTAAAATAGATTTTTTAATTAAATAGAAATATGTCTATTTTACACCTAAAATTTAAATGTATAAGTATGTAGCTCAAAATAAAGCATACAATTTATTAACTACAGGCAGTTACTAAATTCTAATTTATTCACAACTGTTTGATGTTTATCCAACTATTTTAAATTGTACCAATTAACTTTATCCTAAGATTTTCATTTTGTAGCCATCACACTTTTACAGTTTTCAAATTGGTGAAACTACACAAAAAGTTTTTTAAATTTAGTTTTAAAAAAAAAAATTCTATTATTTTAGATGCAATAATAATTTTTAAGATTATACAACATATTGAATAATGTTTATATATTTTGGAAGTAATTGCTTCTTAGTAATGTTTAATGGCTCCTCAATAATTCATAGCACATGCTTATATATTTTTGAGATTAACAATAAAATCAAACCACTAAATTTCTGCTAAGCAGTAAAATCTTCACTTTTATACACATTTCACATGTCTTGTTTATTCTTTTCCTAAATGTTTAGTGGCTATGTTTTTTACTCATGGTGAACTGGGAAAAAAAAACGTGTGTAATTTAGATAATTTTTTAACAGGTATACAGGGTTCACTTTTTGGTGAACTGGTCAGGAAAAGGGAAACTTTGGACTATATGGTATTGCCTCGTCTGCTGGCCTTAGCAGAGAGATCCTGGCATGCAGGTAAAACATGTCTAAAGTTATTACAAGTTTGATTTGGTTAAACTATCGGGCTATACAATCTTTGTCTCAGATGTAGCAGATAGATATTGGCAAGCAGGTAAAAAATGTCTAAAGCTATTACAAGTTTGATTTAGTTAAACTAAAAGGGTATAACATCTTTGTCTTAGATGTCGCATATCAGTATTGGCATGCAGGTAAAAAATGTCTGCAAGCTAAAGTAATTACTAGTTAAATTATGTTAAGCTAACAGGATATTGAAAAAAATGTCTTGATTGTAGTAAATAGATATTGGCGTGCAGGTATTATAAAATGTGTTTAAGTTAATAATATGATAAACTACATATGCCCACTACCTAGGATAAACCTTTAGCCTAAATTATAGTTGCCACAACTAAAAATTGTAGAAACATGCTATATATCTATATAAAGTAGATACTAAAATGTGTGTGTAATCTTTTCCATTGAAATATCAGTTATTGAAGTTTAAATGAGATGGATTTAAGGTTATATTATCA